TCTCGCTTAAGTCGACTTAAGCTACTCTTCCATATGACCACAGATATTTATGTTTTAAAAAGCAAAATATATACTTATTTAATGTATTTAATTTTTAGAAAGCTTATTGCTAAAATACATACAGAATAACGCTGTGACCTTTTCGTTAGAGATTTTTCAATTAGTCGTTCGAAAGACAGAAAAACCCTTCCATGATAGTTGCCAGAATTGACAATTGTCTTACGAAAAGCTTTAGCCTTTCAAAAGACTGTGGTGAGTTGAATGACAGCTGTTTTTTTTTTGCTTTTACAGTGGGTTAGTGTTTCCAATTTTTGATCACAAATCCAGTCTTATACTTAATTACATAAATAACTTAAAGTGTAAATTGACTATAAAAATAATTTTCCTCCTGCAGTGCCTTTTTCGTAGAAAAATGGGTCACTTTGAACCAGTGAAGAAGCTCAATAACCTCTTACATAAGTACATTGAAAATTACAGCTAAATTTTTACGTTTATGATTTTTGTTTCTTCGGTCACACCCATAAAAGTATAAAAAAGTGTGTATATTTATGTACATATGTATGTATGTTTACACTTGCCGTTGACGGTCAACAGATAGTGCAAAATGTAATTGTACATTTGAGAGCCAATAAGTTGACAGCACTTAGCACGCGACATATTGTACGAACAATTACACTTACACAACAATATATGTATGTATGTATGTCCATATGTATGTGTTTACTTACCTAATGAATACATATGTTGTTTGTATGAAAAAATGCACCAGAAACTTTTTAATGAAATAATGCGAAATTTTATTACATATTTTCACTTTGCTTTTATATGTATATGTACATACATATGTAAGTAGTTTTTGCATTTTCATTTGTTGTTTGTTTGAGTTCTTTGTTTTTTTTTTTGACAGTGCGAATATACATATGTACGTTCATAGTTGGCAAAGTTCACATTTGTCTGTGATTTTTGCCATTTCGAAACTCGAATGTGCGTGCGCACACACACACACACACACACACGAGTAGAAAAATCGTAACGAAGTTAACTTCATTTGTAAACACCGCGATAATACAAATTATTCTCGGGCGCAATGGCATTCCAGTGGCGCAACATAATTGGGCGCCAACGTACCGCTGACACTCTGCCGGCGTCCAAAAGGCGTGAAAGTTTGTCGAAACTTTAAACAAATTCAGCAAAAATGATTGCAAATTGGCACAACAGTTGGGTGGCATCATGGTAAGTAGGTAGGTAGGTAGAAAAAAAAGTAGTAGAAGAAAGAAAAGAATCAGATGTAAAAAATAAGCAGAGAGAGAGAGACAGAGAGTGGAAAATTTGTTTGAAAGCAAAGTTTGTGAATTACGAGGCACACACACGCAAATTTGCGAAGAACTTCGCTGATTGAAAATTATAATTAATAAGAAAAAATTTAAGAGTAATAAACTAAATGCAAATTAATTTAAAGAAATTATTTAAATGATAAAATATTCATATATTTTTTGTGAATTCTGCAAAAATTGTTTGTGTTTTAAGTGTTTGCTATTCGATTTTGTTCTACAGGTTTGTGTAAATGTATATACATAGTAATTCAAGCACAAAAACAGTGAAAAAATTAAAAAAAATCTAACAACAATAGAATTTCAAAAGCACAACTTAAGCGAACTAAAAAAAACGGCGGTGCGAGCTAATAGTACATACATAATAGGGGTATTCACACCTTGCTGGTTATCCCGTTTATCTATTTATGTGTTTTATATTTTATTCAGTTACCAGCAACAAAACACACCCGGAAGGTGTGAATACCCTAAATGTGAAAACTCTTAATCTAAGCTTTTGAATGTTTTCAAAAATACATTACAAAAATTTATACAACTCGAACATTTCACTTTACTAGTCTTCCTTATTTTCGGGCACCTCCCAGAACAGCTCATCCTGATGCTGTTCATCCTTCTGTAACTTGCGCACGCCGGTGTATTTAAGTGCAGCGCCTGCGAAGTAGCAAAAAAGGTGATGTTGAATTCAATTTTATTATCAGAGTTAAGTTAATTAAAATATATGTATATTAGGGTGGAGTAATTTAATTTCGAAAATAGTGTTTGGCATATTCGAATTCTATGTTCGATTCTAAGCAAAAGTGGTGAACAAATTAAATAACAAAAATAACGTTTGACACTGCCAAATTTTAAAAGAAAAATCATTGTATTATATTTTTTTCTGAACGAAGTTAATTTCTCATTTACAAAATTTTCTTCATAGTTTTCTTCAGACGATGAACTGCTTTTTCTTTTGAAAATTGTTCGTCATTTTTGCACGGAATTCATTCGTAGAATTGGAAAGTTTTGCTCCGAACAAATTACTCCGCCCTAATGTATATATTTATTTTGTGTGTTGTCCCCTCGGCCTTACCTGTTAAAACACCACCAACAATGGCAACCAACAAGGTGACTGCAATGCCGCAAAGCTGATAGCCAGCCTGAGTTGAGGCAGTGCGGTTGTAGCCCTGGAAGAACAAAATACATACATATATACATATAATAAATACTGTTGGCGAATTTTTTTGTGCTATGTGGTTTATGTGTTTAATTTGTATCTTTAATGTACAGTATAACTACTTTCATAGCGTTTTTGTTTAGAGGTACCATTTTCCGCTAACATTTAAACGGATTACTGCACTGTCCGCATTAAAGATGGTAAATAACAGTAAGAAAATTAAAAACAACCTTGTACTTCATGTTGTTTTTTAATTGTTAGTGTTTTGTGAACCACTTTACTACTAATATTTTACTAAAATTATAGGCCAAATTTTTTTTTTTTACGTGCACAACAATAAAATACTAGCAGTGGCAGTTACTGTCGAAATTCTACCGTTTTTCTAGTTTTCTTTAAAGTATGCCGAAGAATTTTTTTCAAAGATAGTACTTTGAGTATCTTGCAACGTACAAAGCTGCTAACCATAAAACTTCTGGTTCGGCACTACAAAATGACTATGACTAAGCACTCAAAATTTGAATAAATGAGTTCGACTGGACCACACTTCATACAGAAGTGAAAATTTCTTCGACTAATTTCTAGTTCATTTCATATTGCAGAAATTTTTATTAAGATTAATACCTACTAAAGAACGAAAAATGACACTGAAGATGGCACAGCGCCGAAACCGGTTTGCCTGCAAACCAAACTTGACAAGGCATGACGAAAATTCGTTCCAAAATAAATCATCTTACCACCCAGTCGGAAAAAATCAAGCAACACCAACATATTCATATTAAGTTTATTCTTAGACTACGTCTGCATAATCGTCTATGTATTCGTCCTCGGTTTCGTTTTTATATTCGTTTTAGCCGCCATCTACGTATTTGCCCTAGTCTTCGCATTCGTCTTCATATTTGTCTTCGTCCTCATCTTTGGATTCGTTTTCTTAATCTTCTTCGCATTCATCTTCGAACTCGCCTTCGTTTTAGTCGTTTGTCTTCGCCTTTATATTCGCCCTCGTATTCATAATCTTCGCCGTGTTCGTCTTCGTTTTTATATCCGCATTCGTTTCGTATTTCTATTCCTTCATTCGTGTTCGTAATCATCTTCGTACTCGTATTCGTCTTTATTGTTGTTGTAGTAGCATAAAAATTGCCTAAAGAGTTTTTAGAGAAAATGTTTTCGAGACAGTCCTGGCCTGATACAAATCTAGGTTGGGCCAGTTACATAGATCCGACTGTCATGGAAATTACAGTGAAACCTCCCTTGGGCGGACACTCACCGTCAGTCATTTTTTGTCCGCCCAAGAGAGGTGTCCGCTTAATGGAGGGGAAGCCTGTTTTAGAACTTTTTAATGTTTTAATTAATTGAATAGTCACTATTTCTTATTTGAATAAAAGATATAGATATTACATCGTTCAAACAAAAATGTGCATGTATTTTTTTAAAAAATGCACATTTCATTTATGTGCGTAAGTATATATTAAGTAATAACAAAATAAAAATAAATATTACATTTTAGTCCATAAACTACATAAAACCATAGATTCATTCATGACGTAAGTTTTATTTTTAATTTTTTTCAGTGTCAGTACCTTTTTCATCAATAGTTTTCATGTTTTTATCAGTCTCCAAGGGTTTCTGACAATTCAAATAACGAACCTAAACCACTGCGCAAACCAAACTAAATGTGTGCATAACAATCACATTTTGTGCGGGAAGTCCCCTTTTTCCATTTAGTAGTCCGCCTATGAGGAGTTCGCGTCCGCTCAACGGAGGTTTTTGTTTGATTTGTTATGAAAAGAAATCTTAATGTCCGTTGATAAGAGGTTCGCGTCCGCCCAATAGAGTTTGTGTGTCAATTTTATGCAAAATAACTGTCCGCGTCCGGCCAAAAGAGTGTCCGCTTAAGAGGGAGTAATTTGTTCCGAAATTTATACTTAAAACTTGGTATAGGAAAAAATGTCCGCCCAAGGGAGATGTCCGTCTAATGGAGGTGTCCGTTAGGAGAGGTTTCACTGTAATTCGTTTTGGCATTCATCTTCATATTCAAAGACGAAAATACGAAGCGAAACAAGCTGCGAAAAATAATACCCGATTAGCATACCAAACCTAACTCAAATTCACCAGCTAACGAAAACTACTATACAAAACAAAAAATGGAAATTTGTACACTATGATTGCGGAAAAAATTTCCAAACAATATTGAAACTGTAACAACTCTCATCAGCTTACCAGTACCGACTTACCCCAAGTATAATTGTTGAGTTACTATTCTCTGGTGCGCCAACCATAGCTGGAAAGATTGCACCCAACTCGGATTTGTAATTTTCTTGTGTAACAAAATTGGCAAAAATAGCTGAGGCAATGGCTGATAAAACGGCTGGCATGCCATGCAAATTGTGAACGCCACAAGTGTCATGGATACCGAGCGCAGCTGTTATGCGGGGCTAGAAAAAAAATTGAGTAAAGAAATATACAATTTTTAATACAAATTTAGCTATAATTAAGTAAAACTTAATATAAAATGCATTAAATCCAAAATATGTAATTTTAATCGTATAACTTTTTTGTAAATTTGCTAATCAAAATACATATCCATAAAGTGTTATTACATGGCTATTTATTAATTAGTTACTATAAACACAACTGCATTTTTTTACAACAAATTATTTTAACTCAATTAAGATTTGCATAGCTTAATAAATTCCTAACTCATTATGGCCCCAATCAGCTAAATGATGCTTGTAAACTGAAAATGTGCTTAATTAGCTAAATCAGTGCAATTAATTTAAAATTACTTAAATGAAAAAAAGTACCTATTTCGTTAAAAAGGAAAAAGTGCTACTTAACATAAATTGCCTCTAACACTTCATAGAGCGCACTCGAGTATTCTTTGCATACTCGTAAAATAAAAAAAATGTATTTGATAAAAAATATTGCGAGAGTAGCTAAAAAAATTGCATTCGAAATTGTTCAAAAACTACTTGTGGTACTCAACAGTACAGCGGTCACCCACACAAACACAAACAACTGAACGCACAGAGAGGGACCATTTGTTGCCGGCAAGTGTACGGTTGCGTGTTTGTTTGTGTGCTTTTGAAGAGCTAAATATGTACATTAAATTTATTCATATTGCCTGCATGCACACACCCTGCGCACGATTTGACGATGTCATTGCAGTGATTCCAATATTGGAATGGGTTCAAATATGTATGTATGTATGTATGTATATGGGATAGTACCTCTATTAGCGCGCGCCCTCGCGTTGCAATCAGGGTGCTACATACATACAACTAAATTGAAAATTAAGCACTCCACGTTACGATGAAGCCGCAGCAAAAACACTAATGTTCTTTGTTGTTGACGCCATACATATGTGTGTGTGTGTGTATGACATCTCCATAATCACGACCACCTCATTCCCCCCCTTGCGAATGCAAATTGCGGTTTCGTTGCTTGCCTAACCCGCCCGTCTGCCTTTTGCTCCGACTGCCAATATCTCTCTCTGCCTGCGTTGCCTGGTTTGATGGCCTGTAATGGCTCAATAATATGCTTCGCTGGTTGACAGCCGCATACATACATATGCACATATACATATATACATACATAAATATGTAAATGAGCAGGTGTGGGTGGAAGCGTGCACTCTGCGCTGGTCGTTGGCGGTTGCACAAGCTAAGTACTCTTCAGTCACTAATTTGCATTTTGAATTAAATTTAATAAATTTGTTATAAAATAATGACTTTTACTGATACGCTGCAAAATTTGCTGGGTGTTTCTTTATGTATATACATACATATGTATGTATGTATGTGTGTGTGTGGCAGTTTGCGTTCTCAAACATTTGAATGCTATAAACATGCCTAGTGGTTGAAATTTGTCAAGGACACTTTTGATTTTTCTAGGTAATTAAATTTGTTTGCTTGCTTCTCTTTTAAAGGCCATCTATGTATGCGAAAGCAAATATATTTTTGTGTAGAAAATTTATTACATTTTGCATCGAAAAACTTCGTTTTCCGTAATAAATTTGCAATTTACTAATTAACTAAACAACTTTCATAAATTTTGTGAAAATGCTCTACCAAGTTGAGGACGCATTTTCAAAGGTTCGTAGAAAACTTTTTGAATTACTTCAATAGCATAGTTTAAAGTTGCTATTCAAATGGAAAACAAAATCAAAATCAATTTTGAATTTTTAAACTTAGTCATCTATGAGCAAAATACTCTATCGAGTGCATGGAAATGGTAAAACGTCTTTATATCCTCAAGTTGTCTGGACACTGCGGACTGCCCCCACATTAGCATTGAACGTAGTGCCTGTCGACTTTGCTGGCAGAATTGTTGCGGAGCGAACGGCTATCAGACTCAGGGAAACCGATTGGTTGACCAACTTAGGGACTGGACAGTCTGGAGTTGTAGGGGGCTTAGATTTCATTCCTGATCGTATGGATTACTGAGGAGTGCGCCGCGCGAGACATCTGGCGGAGGGGTACGATGAATTTCTTTACGGATGGAGCGAAACTGGATGGCAGGTTTGGTGGTGGGGTCTTCTGTCGACAGCTTACCATCAGCACTAAGTTCAGGCTCAGCGGCTATCAGGGCCTTGAGTTCGTTGGAGGTGAGCTCTAACTTGGTTAAGGTATGTCTGCTCTCTCTTTCGGTTGCGTCGGAATACTTCTGCATTCGGCTTATTTGGGTTCGGGGACACAGCGTCATTGAGGGGAAATGTGTGTGGTTGACGAAGTGGCCAGGGAAGGTACTCGTAAAATATTAACACCAGATAAAGAGAGGCTGGGGATGCCATTGATCGCTTGTGGTAGATTCTTGGATAGATTGGCCCTTATGTCAGCTCTGCGAGCGCTGGGCGAAAACCACGACATGCGCGATCGCAAGGTCCATTTGGCCGAGGGTGGCCCGGGGACGATCGAGGGCACTTCTCACACTCACAAAGCCACAGCTCTCACTTCTGGTGGCAGTTTTAACTGGTCACTGTCCTATCGGTATTCACGCAGTAAGGCTAAACTTTCTACCGGACCCCTTATGTCGCAATTGTGTGGAAGAGGACGCGAAGTGGAACCATATAAACACTACCTTCTTGAAATACTTTGGCTCTCGCTTTCTAAATAGCCCCGAGGAGCTCTGGGGCATTGAGATAAGTCTAATTCGTAAACACATAATCGGCTCGGAGCGTTTTATCGATAAAGTTTAGGGCGCCGTTCAAAATTGTGGCACCACAAAGGACCATCTCACATTATCTAATTGAGCTCCGGTAACATGGGGCTGCCACCTTACCTAACCTAACCTAACCTGACCCCGAAACCAATAATTTTTCAAAACTTTGTCCGCCACATTGAATTTCAAAAAACACAGCTCATCATTTAAAAGTAAATATTTTTACCGAAGTTTCGAGACTATAACCG